TATATATGTAGGTTAATATATATATATATATATGTTAATGCACCAGATGCAAAGCTGTTTGAACTGCAAGGTTGGCAGTTCAAGCTCATCAGCTGCTCCTTGGAAACCCTATATAGGGTTGCTATGGGTCAGAACCGACTCAACGGCACTTCACAACACAAAAATAACATATGTAAACCAAATATTTTAAATGTATCAAAGGTCATACTTAGTAAAACCAAGGCATAATTTTTTTTTTTCCTTAAATGTTTTACTGTGAATTATGTGATAGTTTACATGGGAGAACATTAGTTTTACATTCATTATATCTTCTATCCTATATCGCCTCATTGACATGGTTACAATCCCCTCCATGCATCATCAACCAACCCAAGGCATAATTTTTACACCTAGTAAAAGGTCAGGTAATTTAAAACTCAGTGAAACAAATTCATGGTAGAACTAAAGTTCTAAACTATAGCCCAACAAAGTTCACTTCTAGCTTTACTGCTTTGTCTTCTAGACACCACCAGCACATCATCACGAATTTCAACTCCTCAGTTCTTACACTATACAATCAAAAAGCCAGCTCACCCACAGCTGTCTGAGTCTGGAAGAGGGTATTTGTACCTGGAAAACACAGGGAGGAAGCAAGCAAGCAAGCGGGACAACTGTTGTTGCAGGAAGGGGATTGCTATCACTAAGATGAAACTAACCCAAAGATGTGCTGAACGTAAAACTGATTATCTTCTCTGTAAATCTTCTCTCAATTCACAATAAAAAGTTTAAAAGGCCACCTCGGCCTCTCCCATCACGTGATCTTATTGCGCTGCAAAGTTCTTTCCACTGACATTTCTATGACTTATTTTAACCAGCCGCTGCTCGGTAACCCTATAGGTCACTATGAGTCGGAATGGCCCCAAGCAACACCATCATCAGTGGAATGTGAGTGCCAAGAGAACCAGGGCTTTGCTGTGCTTATCCGTCGTCCCCAAGGCCCCACGCAGAACCTGGTAGGAATTCAATCAATGTCTGTGGACGAAGTCACTGATAATCATAGAAGGCTAATAATGCCTCTATGACCAACAACACACACAACAAAACAAACACCAAATCAGACACTTACTGAGCAAGCCCTGCACCTCCCAGACCCTCAATAAAACTGCTTCCCCACATACTGTGTCCTTGGCCCAGGCATGAATCTCAAAAATGAAAATTCTACGACTTACTATCTACCCGCTCCTCATCTATAAACCACCGACTCTGGATTCCAGATCACGCGTCCAGAAACTCATTCCGAGTTCCAAAATCATCGGCAAACTTCCCAAATGAGATTTCTCAGCGGTGAGAAAATTTTTTTAAAAAGGAAAAGAAAAATCGGAGCAAAATGAAACGTGATGAATGAAAGAAAGACACACGACGCCAGGCCCCGATGCCCTGCAACAATGCGGTCTCCCTGCCCCGCAGCAGCCAGGACGCTGGGACTCCTCCTGCTAGAGAAGTCCCCCATCGCCGCCCTGTTCCCCCCCGCATCACACAGCGACCCCACATCGCCCTGAAAACTTTCCCCCAACTCCCCAAGCCTCTCTGCGGAGCAGGACGCCCCCGCCGGCGACCAGGCCCCGAACCCCGGGCCCGGCAGGTGCCCGGCCGGGGATGCGCAGACGAGGGGACACAAAGGCCGCCCGCCCGCTGCCCGAGAGTCGGGGCTCCGGAGGGCGCCGCCGGCCGCCCGAGCCTCGCCCCACCCCGGGTCCGGCGCCCCAACGGCCGCCCGAGGTCGCCCCGGGCCCCGCACTCACAGGCAGCCGGAGCAGGAGGTGCAGACGAAGGAGCCGACCGTCATGTTCACGTAGGTGGGGCCGCGCTGGTCGCAGTCAAAGCACTTTCGGTTGTGCGGGAGGCCGGTCATGTCCCGCAGCATCTTCAGGTGCTTCTCCTCCTGCTTCCGCTTGGCGCTGGCCGCCATGGCCGCGGCGC